TCGTGCAATCCGTGCATCGTGCAAGACTTCGAGAATACCCCTATTATCATATCAAAGCATATCAATACATGCATAACGGGCCTATGAATAAAACCCTATGCACGTTGTAGAGCTTGTTGTATTTAATACTAGAAGATGATCATTAGGGTGGACCGAAAATCCGAAATTTTATATATATGGTTCATTATGTCTTTAAAACCCACTTTTATTAGCAAAATAATATTTTTTTTAGTCTTCTTCGTTACCAATATAAGTACGGACATAGTAGCGTTTAAATAATAACACTTGAAATTTAATTATTGGAAAAATTTTATAACAAACAGACCTTTTACTCGATTTGTGCAAAATTTGAACTTCAAATTAAGTTAAGTGAAAGGTATGTGATTTTAAGAAAAGGCAAAAGTTTAATTTGTATGCTATTTTTATACCCGAGCGCACTTGTGCACAAGGGTATTATAACTTTGTTCACATAACGGTTGTTTGTAACAGCCAAAACGAATCGAGATAGATATAGACAAATGTATACATAAATGATCAGGATGAAAAAAGAAATCGATTAAGCCATGTCTGTCTGTCCGTCCGTCTGTCCGTCTGTCCGTGTACACGATAACTCGAGCAAAAATTGAGATATCTCAACGAAATTTGGTATGTAAGTTTCCCTTAATCCAAGGTAGGTTGGTATTGAAAATGGGCGAAATCGGACTTTAACCACGCCCACTTCCCATATAACGGTAATTTCCAGAAATACGAAAACTGCGATATTTTAGTAACTACTGGAGATTATTCACTCAAAATTGACATTTATAATAAGTTTTAGACGAAAAATAAGAATATTATAAATTTTTGGAAAATGGGCGTAGCCACGCCCACTTATGGTTACATGTGTATATCTTGGTAACCGCTGCACCAATTTCTTCCAAACTTGGCACAGTTGTTGGCCTTAGTACAGCATAAAAAATCGCCGAAACTTTTTAAAACCGCACAATAACCACGCCCACATCCCATATAACGGTAACTTTGAGAAATACAAAATCTTCGATAATCAGTAAATATTGAAGCTAATTTATTCAAAATTGATGCTTGCAACAATTCTTTACCAAGAAATACGTTTATGGTAAAATTTTGGAAAATGGGCGTGGCACCGCCCACTTATGATCACATATAAGTATATCGGTAACCGTTCTACCAATTTGTACAAAACTCGGTGTGGTTATTGTGCTTTCCACATGAAAGCAAAGCATTGAAAATAATTGAAATCGGACTAAAATTACGGCCGCTTTTCATATAACGGTAAATTTCAGAAATGCTTGAAACTTCAATATTTCGAAATTGAAGGACGCTAATTTACTCAAAATTGATACACCCCGGCTTACCATCTAGCGGAGGTTTCGGAAAGGTGAAAAAACATATATTTAATACTTGCGCCGGGTATTTAATGTTCGGCTCCGCCCGAACTTAGACTTTCTTACTTGTTATTAATAAACAATAACACACAATAATTAAATAATAAAAATTCAATAAAATTGGATTTTCTGCTCACCCTAATGCTCAGGCCTAGAGCATGATCTGGTCTTTCAAAGATTCAGCAACATTTTGAGCATCCTCAAGCACGTGCCCAGGTTTTTATTCATGCGGCCCAATGGGCTATCATGGTTTCATACTTACATTTTCAGAGAGAGTAAAGATTCGATAGTTAAAAGCTGAAGTAAACAGTCAAGTTTGCACAAAGGGAAATATAAAAACGGCCGTTTTGACACATTGAAATGCCGACATCATTTTATGTAGAGAGAATGCTTTCAGTCTTCATCAATTGACATTCTAGTGTCAGTTAGAGTCATAGTAATTTAAGCTAAATTACATAATATATTTTAGGAAAACAATGCTCCACATTTTGAATCAATTCATATACTTACTTAACTTAAGGCCTACATAAATACGTGCATATGTGTAGTACATTCAGTGTCTATGATCACTTTGTACTGAAAATTGTATAACGACCTCGACTTGAATGACATTAGATCACATTTGAATAAACCGCTGAACATGTATGTACATACATATGAAATGTGTAGGCACTCGCGTTTAATTACGTAATGTGCACTTGCTTATGTATGTATATGCTTGTTGTCAGTTCGTTGGCGTAATGTAATGAAGACCGCAGTAATATTGCATATTTGCTTGGCAACACAAGTACATGATGTTCATAAATGCCAACGAATATAGGTCATAATGGATAGAGTCAAACAATAGGAATCGCTTAAAGAATTGATTCATTGTATATGTAAGTATGTACATACGAGTGAGTGCATGTCTGCGTGCGAATGCTAGCACATTGTTATATTGCTATCTATTTGACAGCTCGTGAATTCAGGGCATGCACAGAACGCACTAATACGCGCATACGCCTTGAGGGTGTGCAACGGCATCGGCATCGACGGCGGCATCGACGATTATATCCTTGCATACACAATCCAGTTGGATATGCCTGTTGCCCCGAGGGGTTGATGGCTTTGTGAAATTGTTGTTGCTGATGTTGTATTATACGCTCTTTATTGTCAAATGTTGTGTAGCAGCCAACTTACAACGCCCACAGCGTAGTATTTGTAGACTCTGGGTCTGTGGTATTATCAATACAACAATGTATATATATTTGCTGTAAACACTTGTCTTCCAAGCGACCACCCACTAAACATCCTTGCCTGCAATACTAGTCGCATATTCATACATATAAACTATATTTTATATTTATGGGCATCCACTAATCGCACCAGTTAGATTGGCGTCCCGCACACTTGACGCCCACGCATCGCCGCATGCTTATCAATAACAACATGAAGTAATATCAATATCATAAAAAATGAGAAAACTAACCGCATGTGTCATAGTTTCCATTATTAATGCGATTTTTTCTATCTTTCCTTTTTATATCTCTCATCCGTTCGTCGGCTGCTTTGGAATGCTGCATATTATGATGACGTCTCAATACTTGTGCGCCACTCTACAACATTGCATGGATTGATGAAATATGGCGGCGTTTGTTTCTCCATCATCGTTGTTGTTGATTCGTCCCAATTTTCCTGCTGTCGATATGACAGACTCCGACACTGGCGGCTGGGGACCGTGGAGCGAATGGACACCATGCTCGACGAATTGTCTAGGTGGCACGCGTAATCGCTATCGGTTTTGTGACTCACCGCCACCGCGATATGGCGCAAAGTTCTGTGAAGTAAGTAAATATATACATATATGTAAGTGTAACTAAACAAGTGTCAAGGATAGCGGAAAACCAAAAGCAAAACATATAGCAGTCAGCCAACCCCAGAATCCCCGCACCAAGCAATCTCTTGAATGACCGTAACTTCCACAGCTTCCGACCAGCTAAAGTTTTTTTTTTTGTTTTTTGCATCCTATCGCTGGACCAACGCATCGTTAGACCACTTTGTCGC